CCTCATAATTCTAAATGCAGTGGTCCCATCCTGGGTCCTTGGCTGAGCACAGTTTGTTCCATGTCCTCTCCATAATTCCAGGGACAAGTAGAATTTACCTTGCCACACAGTTGGGGAGTGAGGATGAGTGTTCGTAATTCCAGACTAGATGAATTCTGTTTCCTCAGGTTAAGTATGGCATACAGGATCCCCTCACTCCAAGTTTGGGGTGTTGCCTTTCTACAGGTTGAGGAGAGAGTTTGTCCACTTTGGTGTTGCTTACTTTCTCATTGTGATTCCGGTGGCTTGGAACGCATCACTTGAGAGTTACAGGCTGGAATCAAGTAACAAGTATATATATATTGTGGTCCAAATACCCTAGCCAACAATGTGGTGTATAGAGACCATGGCCCTATAATTCCAACACCAAGTGGTAGAACCTTGGCTATCTGGTTGGGGCTTGGCTAATAGTGATGATGGATCATGTCAAATTCCACCCGCAGTGCATGAATTAGGTTCTTGGTGAAGAGCATACCTGTTCTGGATGTTGTGTGGTTCCCCCACTAGGGTGCTAATATTTTATTGGCAAACCCATGTTCTATGCAGATGCATTCTGTATGGATAATGCCCTCACTGGCCCTTCCACCTTATCAGCGTGGGATTCTAGCTGTAGTGTGAGTGGAGGTATGTTTTGGAAGTTTTCATTTTCTTCAATTGAAAATGTATTTCCAATAACACTTACGCCTGCTCACACTATCATGCCCTTCCTCTCCACTAAGAGCTGGTGTTAGAGACTGTGGATTGAATCAGTCTCAAAAAGTGATAATGTTATCTAAATGAGGTGCTTCTATACAGTACCAGGATAGAGGTTGCATTGACATAGGTGGAGAGTGTCACGAGACAGATATTGCCAAGGGCAATTAAAAGGAGTATAAAAGACTGGAGCAAGCGAGAAAAAATCAGACCAATGCTTAGATGAGCAAAGCAGTCAAGTAATAACTGTAGTGTGTTTGTTCCATCTTATTTCTAAGGGACAACATAGGGCCATTTAGCTCTTCTGGGCTATGCCATTTTCTACTAACACCTACTTCAAACTACATATTCAAACCCTTTTTCTCATATCTAACCCTGATCTTTATAACAGGGAAGGCAGAGTTCCATCTCAACTTCTCTCTGCTGCCATCTCTATTTTTAAATGCTTGTCTTAGTATGTTGAAGCTTCTACCATACCTCAAAACAAACTAGTCCATAGGTCAACCAGCCTATTAGAAAAGTAAAAACTATCTGAACTAGAGTCATGATTGAGTTTCCTGTATCTTAAGCTTGCACATGTTTTTTAAGGAAACATTATCTGGATTTATTTATTCTAAACTTTGCCTATGTTAAAAACCTCAGTCATGCCAACCTTTTCTTTTTCCAGAGAAAACTTACCAAGATTTTAAACTATCTACATATTTCCTTAAAACATGGAATTATTTTGGTTGCTCTTCTCTGAACCCTCTGCAACAACTCAACATTTTTTCTTAAATAGTGTAAGAAGATTAAACTAAAAAAAACACTCTAAATGAAGTCTAACTAGCACCTTAAAAAATGAACTGGTGACCATCTTCATCTTCTATTTGATATTTGTTATGTATACAGCTTAAAATTTTGTGCTTTATCACTATCTAACATACCTTGTCAATTAGACGCATGGTGAGCAAACTGTGGAGGTGTGGAGAGTCAACTGAAGTGGCATACAACTATGACTATAGGAGCATATAAATTATATCTACAAATACAGCCCCCAATGACTCAGTAGTAAATCTGAAGGCTTATAATACTAGAAACTGGGTTTTGATACTTGTGATGGGCACAGCACAAGTAGCCCAGATTTTATAGGTTTGTGCTTACCAACAAACAAACAAACTGAAAATACAAATTTAAAGGTGAAGTTTTAAAAACTACCATATTAATTAATACAAGAATTAACATGGAAAATGACAGGTACACCTTATCTATCTATCTATATATATATATATATGTATGTATATGCAGGTTATATCAGGTTATGGGATTGCCATAAATAGAGTTTGTATACCACTGAACTAGACTTTAGAGACTTCACCTGGAATTTCCATTGGAGGGTTATATAAATAATTAATGTTTGTGATAACCAGTATCCGTAGCCTTACTTTTTTTTTAAAGTAAAAAGGCATTTGTAACTGTTAAAGTTAAATACTTAACCAAGTAAATTTCTGTTATGGTGTATATCTGTGTAATTATTTTTATGTATTAATACATGTCTCTTATTCTGTTATTTCTTCTTCTTTTAGACAACATGTTTAACAGGATTGGCTGTTGCCAAAAATCCTCATCATGTGAGTGATTTTGAACTTATTTTATAAAACTTTTCAGTGTGATATGATTATTAAATGTGTTTCTTTTTAACTGTTAACTGCAATTAATAATACATGTATACTTAAGAATGAAAACCCATGACATGGTCTTATTTATACTTCAGATCACCATGTAAACCAAATGATGTGGTAATCTTCTGAAATCTTTCATGGAGGTCAATTAAGTTAAGAACTTGGGACTTAGTGTACTGAAAATCAATTCATTTAGTTGTTTTTTTTTACATACATTGTAAAAAAATAAATTTACATGAAAGAAAATAATAAACTCTAGTGGTTCAAACTGTTACAAGTTCAAATTTACTTAGTCTAAACAGATGAAAAATTTGTTGGTAATGATATACTTGAGGGAAAATTATTTTAAAGAATTGAAAAATGCTGCTTCTTTATACTAGATACTAAACTTTAGGCTCATGATTTAGGGGCAATACTTTCTTTATGTGTAAAACTAAAATATGCTATTAAATTATTAATTTATATATTGTTTCCTTCAGCCTATGCTAAACTTGGTTATTTGCTTTCAGTGCTCTGCAATGGAGATATTTTAGCAGCAACCAGTTCAGTTATTACCATAACTACACACTTTGACTTTGAAAAGCAGCCAGGTTATGTTTTAACCCGTTTTATGTGGTCATTTTGACCAACCTTGTAACCATAAAACCATGCATACTATAATTCTGAATTTATGAAGTATATCTTAATGAAGTTCAGCAAGCTTTTACTACACTTTACAAGTCTTTTGTAAACAAAAATGTAGATTTTTTGATAAAGTATTTTTTTTACTAAAAATTATTCTATGAGTTTACAAATTCAGTTTGACTAAGACTCTGACTAGTGTAAAAGGTGACTGTCATGCTAAGAATAAAAAATTCTTCCTTTCATCTTACAGTTTTCATATTTCATTTGCATAACTTCTAGAATATCCTAAATGAATGTCAGAAGTTTTTCTGGTAAAAAATTTTTACTTTATATTATTTTCTCTACCCTAATACTAAATGTGGCTAAATAATCAATGTACAGTAAAATGAAATTCCAATATGATATTTCACCACCTCTTACAAACAGCTTTTCTCAGAGTGTGACACAACTCTTATTGTCACTAACACCCTCTCTCTTCTGTGCAGCCTAAAATCACTTCTTGATTGGCAGCTTACAGTTAAACTGTGATTTCAGACTGATTTTTTTCATTGACATGCTCAAGTTTACAGTTTATTTTCGGACATGTATTTTATTTCAACCACATTTTTTCGAACTTTTATATGTTTAAGAATTTTTTGGAGATAAAATTCTTATTCTATTTCAACCATATTTTTTCGATTTTTTACAGTTTTGATAATTGTTTTTAGAGATAAAATTCTCCTTTTTTTTCCAGCCAACTCCACCCATCATGCACTCACAATTCCATGTTGCATCTATCACAGCTGCTGTAACTACTACAGCTGATTTGGCTGCCATTTCAATGTCGTTTGAGCAAGCTTTATTTGCTCAAGGAGTAACGGCTTTAGTTTATAGGGAGTTGACTACATTTATGAGGTTTTCTGAGTCACCTGATGATTGTCCTCTCATACCATGATGATGACGATTTGGACAGATTGTTTCTCCTCCTCCTCTATGCTTCACAGTCGTGTTTTGTTTTGGGGAGGTGCACAGGCCTCCTTCCCCATTTGTAGCCTTAACCCTTTATCTTCCATGGCCATTTTGATCTTATCTGAGGGTAAAATCACATTTGTGAATTGAAAAAATTATGGAGAACTTATCTTTTATTGGATTTCAGATTTAATTTTTGTAAATAGTAGCATAACATTCAATTATTTGTACAAAATTGTATTATTTAGTGAAGTTTAAAAGAGGAAATTAATGGGAAAAAAACCCTAAAATACGTTTTAGACTGTAAATAAGCGCCCTCTAACAAGAAAATTTTTTTTAGCATTTCCTTCCACTTCAGCACTGGTCCTGCTATCTATGATTGGTATTTAAACCTTTTTCTAGTCTGTTTTCTTTATAAAACAGCATCTGGGTGTGTTAAACCTCAGTTATAAAACTTTTAGCCAATCCTAGTTGAAGGTGTCAATTTCAGTACCATGTTATTCCAATAACTGTATCTCACATTTGACAAATCATAGGATGATAAGGAAAGCACGTGACGGAACGTTGTTCTCTGGATTTTACAATATGAATGTGGGTTG